GCGACAAAGAGGTTTTAAGAAAAATGGGACTAAAATTAAAAAGAGAGATAAAATTACTGACATACATAATGAGGAAAGTAGGCTTGAAAAATATGACACTCACAAGACATGTAGAAAACAAAAGGAAGTAGCAAGTAACATGCCAAATGAGCTTGCATAAATGGGCAGCAGCAGAACATGATCAGCGAGAGGTAGTAAGGGCCAGAATATTGCTTAGTGTTATAATGGCTAGGAATTTGTGGAAGGCCATGATCACGTATGTCCTAAAAGGATACAGCATTTAAAAGAGGAAGAAGACTGCAACACTCAATTATTACACACTTTTTATTTAAGTTTTGTAATCAATATCTTGGGATGCTCAGTGTGGTGTAATACAGGACTAGTGTGTAACTAACCCTGAGACCAGAGTGGGTTAAGTCTGATTGAATATTTGTGGATTTTGACATCATACTTGGGTATTTTTTATTCTTCATCCAAATCTCTGAATTTGTTTTGCTCATGCAAAGGCTAAGAAAAAACACTATATAAAATTCAATATTTTTTATCTATAATGTTGAATGTGTTTTAAAATTATTTAACGTTTTAACAAGAAAAATCTCAAGCTGATGTTAAAAATTTCCACAAAACATTGTTGATCTATTTAACATGGGATAATGGGATAATCTATTGTGACATGTCTCTAATATATCTAATTTATTGTTTTTATTTTCAATTTTTCTAGTTGAATTGTTCATTTATATTGCATATGATCCATTATTGTACATAATTAGGTTACAATAAAATTTGTAATTTATATGACTACTACCCTATAAAAATTGTGATGTACTAGAATGGGGACTCTGTATCAGAGTTTAAAGATGCACGGGTGCCTATAGGACCCTTGAACCAGCCCTGGTGTAGTGGAAAAGAGCTGGGAATTAGTAATTGGAAAGCTGAGTTATAATTCCAGTTGGGTTCATTATATTTACTTATGCACAACTACCCTTGGAAAAAGTATGAATCCCTTTCTTCAAACCACAGCTATGGGTTGAATAGCAGGACAGACTGGGTCCTATAGCCTTGGTTGGTTTTGTGATGTCAACAAACACTTATTGCCACTTTTGTGATGCCAGCGAATACTCGTTCTCACTTTTGCAATGCTCATTGTAGTAGAGTCTTTGTAATTGCAAATACAGCTATAGTACACCGTTGGACAATACTGGTGTCAGATGCCTTTGAATAAGTCTCACGCCAATAGTACTTGCTTGATCAACATCCATACTTGCTTGAAGAGTAATCCATATAGTGATCCAAATAGAGGAGAGTATAGTGAGTAGAGAATAGTTATTTGTATAATAATAGAAGATAGAGTAGAAATAGTGATCAATCTAGATATCATGCATCTTCCTGGACATGTGTTTCCTCTATGGTCACATGATCCACTTAATTCAGTAATGGGATCACCTGTGTTTGTTCTCTGGTGATTTATGTTCAAATTCAAGTGTCAGCAGTGACTTTATTCCTATATAACCTTTGGCAACTGCAGAAAGAAATGGCAACCTGCTGTTGGAAAATCTTCTAACTAGTAGTCAGTCATAAATTGAAAGAGACATGATTGCCCAAGCATTTATCATATATGGCACTTAACAGACTGAATCAATGTGTGTAAATTCAAGAGAAATCTGTTTATTTTATATGTGACAACAGATATTTTAGATCCGTTTTTATATCAGAGAACAATATCTTTACTACTGCTCATCTTTAAATTTCTTTCTTGCAGTCCTAAAACAGTTACTATCTACAAATAAAAAATCTCCCAGCTTTTCAGTTTAATTTGGGATTTTGTTAGTGGTTTCTTTATAGAAACCAATGTTCGTATAATTTATTACATTTAGAAGGTATGGCTTTTAGCAAGAGGAAAATCCCAAGATGTGAATTGGAGATGTCAAAATCAGAAGTTTAAATATCTTGAAAGTGTTTTAGCAGATGACAAAATTGTGGGGAAAATGAAATAAAACCAATAAATAAAATAATAATAACAAAAAAAAATTCATTCTCCCATGATGTAAGTTATAAAAAAAACTGGAAAGGGTTTCTGGTTACATGTGCAATTTTATGACCCCACTTCCGGAAAGGACAAAATCTTCCTTCTTCTCCTCCTTTCTTCAAGATGTGAATCATTTGGTAATAGTGATCCTACTGTGGAATGTTAGTTTCCCTGGTCAACTAGCAACTGCACTTTTTTCACTTACTAACAACATTGGCAGATGTGTGTTAGCAGCCTTAGTCATGACATACATGTTCGGTCTTCCCAACTCAATGCCAAATTGACTTGAGCTTGACCATGTTTACCTGTTCATATCCATTACTTCCCATAAATTATTTCAGAACAAAACAGAAAACTGGACTTACTCAAGAGACCTTTTAACTTTATTTCAATACAGTCAACATAAAAGGAATAAATGTCTGTAGCAAAAGGTTTTTTGTATGCTTCTTCTTTGTTCCTTCACCTAAAAAATAGACACAAAACCCACAAATGGTAACATCTACAGAATATGTGACACTGAGATCCAAAGATGCATTGGAATAGCAAAAGATGCATTCCAAAAAGTAAAAGTTCTAAGAAACAAGAAGATTTTGATAGAAGCAAAGTAAAGAGTGCTGAACTGCAATGTGATACCATTTCTCCTATATGGCAGTGAATGCTGGATAATTTTTTCAACAGATGAAAAAGACTTGAAGCAACAGAGATGTAATTCTACAGAAGGATGCTGGGAATACATGGATGGAGTATGTGAACAAAGAGGAAGTTTGAAGGAAAATGGAAGCAAAAAGGACACTTAAACTCAGAATCAGAGGCATTTGAAATTTCTAGGACACTTAATGAAAAAAGAAAGCTTGGAGAATTTAACAGTCACAAGACATATTGAAGGCAAGGACAGAGGGGAATAGTAAGTAATCTATATAAAAAGTGTTTGCAAATGGATGGCAGAACATTGAGTGGGAAGGTTTGTAAAAGACAAATATTGCAAAGAACTACAATGGACAGGAAATTGTGGAAAGCTATGATCACCCACATCCTTAAAGGACAAAACACATAGAAACAGGGCTGGCTCAAGGTGCTGGCAATTCAGGCAGTTGCCTGGGGTGCCATCAAGGCCGAGGACACCATAATGACACCATGTCATGTGTTTGGGATCTTCCCAAACTAAAGCTTATAAAAACATACTTGCAGTCATACATGACTCAAGACAGATTAAATTCTTTGGTTATTTTGTCAATAGAAAATGATTTTGTAAAGAAGATAGGTGTAGAAATTGCCATGAAAAGATTTGCAGATCTAAAGCCTAAAAAAAAATGTTTTGTGTAGGGTAATAAATGTTTTCTTTAGTTTGTATTAAGTTGTATATTGTATTATGCTGTATATTGTAATAAACTCATTATTGTACATTTACAGTTTTTCTCCTTGGGGAAATTTTAAAAAAAATTATACTTGTAAGGGTGCCGAAGTTCAGCTTGCTTGGGGTGCCAGCAAACCTATGGCTGTCACTGGTGGGGACAGCTCCCTGGGGTTTGAGCACATTATATTAATTGTAGAGGCAATAGCAAACAACTGCTGCAATAGTTTATGAATACCAAACAGTCTTAAGAAAATTTCCAATATGGGGAAAATAAATGTGAATGTGTTATAAAACTGAGTTTAAAGCACATGCATAGACAATGGATAAAAATTACTGAAGCCTTCTTGTTTCTTTCTCTTTTAGGGATGTTTCAGACACCCTAGTCCCCTCCTGAGAGGATGATAGTGATTGATAGGAACCAAGGCCGGCTCAAGGTACTGGCAACTTGGACAGTCACCCGGAGCACCATCATGTCGCCATGTCATGTGTTTGGGATCTTTCAAAATCAAAGCTTATAAAAACATACTTGCAGTCATCCATGACTAGAGACAGATTAAATTCTTTGGTTATTTTGTCAATAGAAAATGATCTTGTAAAGAAGATAGGTGTAGAAATTGCCATGAAAAGATTTGCAGATCTAAAGTCTAGAAAAAATGTTTTAGGATAATGAATGTTTTCTTTAGTTTGTATTAAGTTGTATATTGTAATAAACTTAAAATTTGAAAATTTTGAAAAATAGTACTTGTAAATGTGCAGAAGTTCTGCTTGCCCCACCCCATACTGGGGTGTCAGCAACCCTAGGGACATCACTGCATAGAAGATCTTACTATAGATTTTCTTAAAGATTTTTTTTTGTCCTCATGGATTGCAGACTTATACTCTATTTCCTTGATTACAATTCAGAGATAAGAACTCTCTTGAGGTGTGGTTTCTTTGGGCTCAACAAAGGCAAGAAAAGTCTCAGAGAGAAATACATGTTTTGTTGTGGTCAGCTTTGGGATTACATTGTGTGTAAGAAACATTTGTTGAGATACTGTAAATAAGTGTCAAATATCACTGCTTGACCCTCACCTCAGAGAATGACTTCTGTGGAAATCCCAAACCAATAGCGCTAACAAATATTTGATCTTTCTTCTTCTCTTTCTGAATTTGTCTTCACTCTCAGTTTTCTTTTCTCAATCCTATATTCTTATCATTTTATTCCATTTTAGTGTTTCCTTTGCCTTCTTTTGTTATTCTGCTTCTCCTTCGCCTCTCTCTCTCTCTCTCTTACACAGTCTGTCTCACACACTCTCTCTCTCACACATTCTCTCTTACACTCTCTCACACTCTCATTCTCTCTCACATACACACGCTCTCACTCTCTCAGATTCCCTCTCTCTCTCACACACTCTTTCACTCTCTAACTCTTTCTCTCTCTTTCACACACTTTCTTTCACTCTCTCTCTCACACACACACAATCTCTCTCTGGGTTTTTTTCTCAACCAATTCTTTTTCATCTTCCTTTAAAATTCTTTTTAGACTGATCTTTTTCATCTTCTAATTTCATTTCGTTTTTCCTTCATTTTTTCCTTCTTCATTCTTCATTTTTCTTTTCTATTTTTTCAGACTTTATGAAAATGTTCTGTTGTTCAGATGTTCTTTTTCTCCTTCCCAACTTTTCTTCATTTTCATTCTCTACTCTTTCTTTCTCTAGCTTCACCTTTCCTTTCTCTTTATTTCCACATTATCTTTCTATCTATGTTTTCTTATTTTATTTTCACACTTTTGCCTTCTTTCTATATTTCCATTTTCTTTTTTCTTTCTTCATTTTCATTTTCCATTCTTTCTTTTTCTTTATTCTTTGTCTTCTGTCTATGCTTTCACCTTCTTTTTTTTCTTTGTTTTTACTTTCTTTCTTTTTCTTAGTTTGTCTTCTTTTTATGTTTTCTCTTTATTTCTATATTTTTATTCTATTTTTTCTTTCTTTATTTTTACTTTGTTTTATTTCGATATTTTTACTTTTTCTTTCTTTCCTTCTATATTATCACAATTTCTATTTTTTTCTCCCTGAATATTTTTACTTTTCTTTCTCTTTCTTTTCTTTTAGATTTTAGTTTATTTTCTTTCATTATTTTTAAATTGCAATCTTTCTACACATTTACCTTTTTTTCTTTCTTTCTTTCGCCTATATTTTCACTTACTTTCTCATACTGTTGTCTCCTTTTGATTTTTACATTTCATTTTCCTTACCATATTTTTCTTTCCCTGTATTTCTTTCTTTCAGTATTTACACTTTTTCCTTTGTATATATTCTCTTTGGGTTTTTTTTCTCATGGGTGTTTCGTTTCTACTTTTTTCTTTTTTCCTTTTTACCTCCCTTTTTTATATTTTTACTCTTTTCTTTCTTTCATTATTTACACTTTTCTTTTTCTGTTCTTCCATATTTTCACTTCTGTTTACTTTTTCTTTCTTTCATTCTTTCTTATAGAAAGAATAACAGAACACATTTTATTCGAAATACTTGAAAAACTGTTTTAAGAAAAAGATTTTATGAACTTCAACTGACAGTAATGTTAACTATTCAGTTAAAGCATGGCAAATATTTCCTATATGGAAATAGTTAAGTGTCCACAAATGTGTCTGTCTATATTTCTGAGATGAGGTATTATGTACACTATTTACATTATTCGGACTATTGTCTTTGTCACCATATTTATTACAGCGTTTCAGCCCTTCAGTATCTGTCCATATTTCTGAGATGAGGTATTATGTACACTATTTACATTATTCGGACTATTGTCCTCATCTTTGTCACCATATTTATTACATGTACACTCCAGTCTTCTTCAGGTGGTTGGAATGTCGAACTGAACCCTTTATTTCATTCAATGGGATAGACTGTTTAATGGATATCAGTTATCTCCTGTTAATTCCCCTCTTCAAGTTCTCCACTTAACCGGGGATTGAACTCACACTCTTAGGGTCCTGTCACTGGATCTTTATCCACTGTGCCATGTGGCCTTGATTTTATGTCCTCATTTTTATTTTCACACTTTTGCCTTGAGGACATCTGTGTATGAATTTCTGGGCATTATAAGACTAATGTCTCAGCAACCATTTTTTTACTAGTGCTCATATTGCAATTTTTGCTGTTATCATTGACAAGAGATAACTGATAACTGACATCCATTAAATATAGCACGTGGAACTAGAACAGTCTACCCCAGTGAGTGAAATAAAGTGTTCAGAAGGCCAGAGCCTACAATGACCGAAACATTCTAATAAACATGGTGATAAAGATGAGGACACTAGTCTGAATAATGTAAATAGTGTCCACAAATGTGCTTAAATGTCCATTCATTGACTTGATTTTCTGTCAGCTGATGTGGCATGTTATTGATGTGAATATTTTACCACTATATCTGGCATTAGAAGAAAGCAAATGTAAATGAATTCATGCCTTTTCAAAGGGCATTAGTGAAAAATGACTTCAAACTAGCAATATATTTTTTTTAAATCAAATCACCCCATGCAAGGCAGTAAAACCACGAAGACACAAGGGGTTACTGAGTGGAAAAGAATAAGAAAAAAAGAAAAACATTATTAAGGAGCAAGAACAATGGAAGAGTAATCAAGAGGACAGTAGATAACAATTGGCATTGCATTTAAATTTTTGAAGATCAAAGTTGGCTGGAAAGTGTGGAGTCAGAAGAGAGTTCCACAAGCAAGAAGTGTGAGAAAAGAAACTGTTAGCATAGAACTTAGGGTTATATCTAGTGATTTCAACTGTGAATTGATGAGACATTGCCACCAATCTAGTACAATACTTTAAATTCATAAAGTCTAAGTTTCATAGCAAAGAGTTCATCTGAACAATTACTATGAAAGTATTTATAGAATAAAGGAGGTGAGCATGTTGTTTTTCTTGCCCCAGTTGAGATACAGACATCCTAAAGAGAAGTACCAAGGGGAATGAGCAATTTTTGTCTTCGGCTCCATGGATATGTGTGTAGGAGTCCAAGTTTTTAAAAGGTCTTGTACCGTATCATGTTTCTTTCAGTGGATAAGTAAATATGCAAAGCCCCATGTATGTTATCTGTAAATCCCCAAAGTGTATATATAAACATACATCACATACAAATCTTATTAATTTGAATTGCAAGGCATTAATTGTTTGTGGTGTGATAATAATTAACACAATACTTTTCGTAATTATCTACATCAGGTGAGAGAACTATATTCTGCCAAACTATTCCACAGACCGATGATCCTGGGTATGACAATAAACTACATCGAGCAGCAAGGTCTCTGTTCAGGATATTGGAGGAATGGAACAACCTCTTAATTGCTGCTGTTCCGAGGTCCATCTAGCACCTGTTAGGGACCCAGCTATAAGCAAATAGTGAACTGCCAAACAAAAATTTACAGTACATTTTTATAATAAAATGACCAACAAGACATTTTTATTACAAAATAACAATCAATGCAGCACTAAAAAATATAAAAATATGTTTTTATAGCAAAAATTACCAACAATTCATTTTATGATCTACAAATTATTTATCAAGATAAAGGTATGCTTTTTAGTATAGAAAGTATAAAATTATGTACAAAATATCTGTATTTGAAGCTATAAAATTATGTACAAAATATTTAGATTTCAGCATTAAATAACCCATAGAGGTGTTGATATGCTGCTAAACAAAAGCAACTAACCAACAATACATATTTATTGTAAAATTACAAACAATACATATTCAAAGCAAAATGACCAACAATACATTTTATTTTTAGTTGAAACCATAAAATTATGTTAAAAATATGTAGATTTCAGCATTAAATAACACATAAAGGTTGATATGTCATGCTGCTAAACAAAACAACCAAAATCAACTACAGACATACAATTAAAGAAAAAATCCTGATATTTAATCTCTGTCTGTTTATTTCGATTCTATTTTTATGACCTCTTAGTATAATGTACTTTTTTATTCTCTTGTATGTCAACTACAAATCTAGTTGAATTAAAAGCCATTAATCATTTGTACTGTACCTCCCATCAGTTGTTAAATGGGGCAAGAAATGGCTTGTTAATATTAACACCTCTAAAACGAAACTGCTATCCTAATAGACACCCATTTTCATCTTCCATCATCATGGCTAATGCTAACCTTCAGGAGAGCAACTCATTGCACCTTCTTGATTTGATATTTTTTACTAACATGAAATGGAGCAATTATATTAAATCTATTGCTAAGTTTGTTACTAAGAATGTTGGTTGATATAATAATTCTAGACATTTTTCTCATCAGAATCCATCTCACACATTTATAAATCTACTATTCATCTGTGCATTGAATATTGCTGCCATATCTGATCAGATGCTCTGGCTATATATATATATATTGAACAAAATTGAAAGAAGGGTTTGTAATGTTATCAGTCTTGACCTGGCATCTCAACTTCAATCACTTCCCCACAGCTGTGACATGGCTTCCCTTTGTCTTTTCTATAATTATTTTCATGGTAATTGTTCTAATGAACTCTCCTCCTACGTATTTCAACTGCATAAATTTAAGTGTACTACTAGATTGACAACTAGGTCTCACCATTTTACTGTTGGACTAGCTAGATGCAACTTCTATTCTAATAGTTTCTTTTCTCGCACTTCTCACCTGTGGAATTCTCTTCTGTTTTCTTGCTTTGCTGCCACCTACAATTTTCAAAAATTGAAATGCAATGCCAATTGCCATCTTCTGCCTTTCTGAAACCTGTTCTTTTATTGTCCTTTCTCCTCATTAAAGTCTTCTCATTGTTTCCACTCCAAGTAAGCCCTTGCATCCTAGTGGCATCATTGCTTTGCTTCAGTTGAAACAATTAAAAAAAGGAAAAGCTTTTCTTAAAATTATTCACATCCAGTGAAAGAACCACACATTCTGGCAAATTATTCCACAAACCTAGAACTCAAGAAACATTTCCCAATATTTAATCTATTTCTGTTTATTTCAACACTATCTTCATGACCATTTAGTCTTTTGTAGATTCTCTTAGTAAAGAAAGTATTACAATTGCCTGATTTTAAGCCATGTATGATTTGAAATATATTCTGGCAAACCTACAACTAAAGAAACATTTCCTGATTTGTATTCTATTTCTGTTTTTCAACACTGTCTTTATGATCATTTAGTCTGTTGTAGCTTCTCTTAGTAAAGAATGCATTACAGTTGTCTTTACGACCATTTATTCTGTCCTACCGTCTCTCAGTAATGAACACGTTACTGTTGGTGCACCCTTTTTGTCTCTTGTAAGTATGTAGTAAACTATTATATATTCACAGAGCTGTAAGTCCAAATAGCTGCAAATCTACTTGTCCACCTCATTGGATTTTCTCACTTGTTCACTGTAGAATATTGGTTGGCTTGCAAGTGGTTTGACACACAAGTAGACTGGTGTAGTCACTTGAAGCTAAAATGCACCCCTGTGTCATTTAATAGAGAGATATATGGGTGAATAGAGTCCACTCATGCAAATGTGTTGGGCAGGCCCATTCCAACAAAGTGGACCTACCCACCTGCTGCATTAGGTGCTCTCCTATAAATGAAGTAGATTAGGTGGCTTGCCTTTCCATGGAGATACAAGAAGGCAGCCATGTTGGCAGGTAAATCATTTGACTTCTACATTCACTGCCACTGACTTTTTATATATTTGAAGATAACCCATAGTCCAAAAATCCAGGTTATTCTATCAACCCCATAGTCAGCACATGTGGGCTATTCAATTAACTGTTTTTTTTTTTTGTTTTTTTTTATAAATGATGGAATGAGTTTACCCCAGTTTTTATTTGTATCATGGAACCAGAAAATATTTTTAGATTGTAAGAATTTTGGGTGGGGAGATAATAATGGTTTAATGATACAAGTCTTAAAATAGCTGGAGGAGAAGATATGGATTCATGCCTTTCCCAAAGGTATTTGTGCATAAATGAATGTAATGAACCCAACATAAATTGGAACTCAGATCTCTGATTAACAAATCCTAGCTATTATCCATTACACAACCTGCACATCCATACTTACAGTACTTGGTATTCTCAAGTAGTCACCCATCTAGGTACTGACCAGGCTCACTGTTGCTTAACTTTGGTGTGTTTCAACATTATTATGCCATAACACCTTTTTTATTTTTAGCAAAACAATCTTTGCTATTTTTATAAAATGGAATATCAGTCAGTCATTTATGTGCCATATGTTATACATGCTTAGGCAATCATGTATCTTTCAATACATGACTGACAAGGCAGATTTTTTCCCACAATAGGTTGCCATTTCTTTCTGTGGTAGACCATTTGCTATCCAAGGCTATAGAACCTGGTTTGTCCTGCTATTTACCCATAGCTGGGGGGAGAAGATGAGGATTCATACCTTTTACAAGTGTATTAGCACGTAAGTGAATCTAATGGATTCGACTGAAATTCGAACTCAGCCCTTCAATTCCGCAATCTGAGATGCTATCCATTACTATTTTATTTTTTAAACCAT